ATTTGGTTTAAAAAAAATTTAATGTGAAGTTTTGCAACTTCTTTGAATAAATTCTAAAATGATCAAAAGTTTTTTTTTTTTTTATAATTTTTATATTTAACATTTTCAAGTAGCACCGAATTGTGTCTAATAAATTTAAAGGAAGGCTAATTTCAGTGGTTAACGGAAGTAATTATTGGTAAGCCAACAAAAGCAAAATCAATTTATTGGTTAAAAAGCTATAGCAATCTCTTTGCCATTTATTAAGCCTTCAACGCCTTAACCGCTTTGATCGAATTCACAACATACAAGCAAATAGAACTTTCAGAAAATTATATACCAAAAATAGGTCAAAGATTATTTGATGTAATTAAACAGTTGCATTTGGCATAATTAATCAATGGACTAATCCTTGCAGGACAATCTAATCCAATTTGTTGGCAACTCACTAAATTTGTCAAATTTAAAAAAAAAAAAATTTGTATCTTAAATTACTGGAAGTTAAAAAAGGAGGAAAGAAAAAAGGGATGTAAATAAGCCAGAGAATATAAAACGATAATAAAAATGATAGATATTTTTTTTAACTTTTAAACAACTTTTTGAACTAAATTTGAGTGAAACTAACTTGAAAATCTTAATAAAATAAATTTTTAGATTTAAGTTAATATTTTTTATTAAAAATAATTGCCAACAGAGAGGAAAATGGTGAAGTAAGAAGATAAAAGTAATAGAAATATTTGAAAATAAGTTAGAAATAAACAAATGAAATTTTTAATAATAATTAAGCTCCTTAATTTTAGGCAATTAATTGTTAAATTCAAAATCGACTAATTGAACAAAATCATTTTAAAAAAAAACAGAAAATGTACTTTTAAATGTTTTCGAAGTGAAGATGGATGTGTATAAGATTTGCGACATCCATTGATTTTGCATTCGTATGGCTTATCATTGGTGTGAACGTGCATATGTTTCTTTCGATCGCTACTGTTAGCAAATTTACGATCGCAGCCAGGATGTGTACAAGTAAACGGCTTATCACCTAAAACAACCATATTAACATGATATCGCTGATGAGTTGAAAATTTGTATATTAAAAATTCGAAATAAAAATATTTTCAACTAAATTTAAAATATTAAATTTGTTATTTTTGATGATTTCTTGAATGATAGGATTGACTCATTATTTTTAATGATAATCAATATACAGTATTGAAAATAAAGTGTAACAATGAGGATTTATTAGTCATCTGGATGAATAGTTAGTTCTTAGGCCAGATGCCAGATTGTCTATCCGTCTTTAAACCTTTAAATAACTATTTTGTTGAACAAATGAATCTGCAAATGAATGAATGAATGAATGACTGAATGAATGAATGAATGAATGAATGAAGAAACAGTAGCAATAATAATATCTTGAAGATTCTTGACTTTCTTTAGCATTAGAAAGAAGTGATAATAAAAATAATTTTCCATAAAAATTTTAAAAAAATATACAATTTCCATAATTTAAAAATATTAAACTAACTGCTAAAATTTTTTCCATCAACAAAAAAGATTTTCGAAAAAAAAAATTTTGAGTTTTTTTTTTACAAAAAAAGCAAAATAGTTCAATTTATGGCAAAAAATTTAAATTGTAATAAATTTTTTTTTGATATTTGAATAATTAATTGATCAATTAGTAAGATTTATTACTAATAGACATTTCATTTATTTATTTTACTCTTTTGTATTATTGTAAATGATGAAAAAAATTTGCTTTAAATAAATCAATGATAGAAATTAATAATATGATTGAAAAAAAAGCTTTTTTTTGCTTTCAAACATTCAAAATCCGGAATATACAAGAAATAAATGCAAATTTTTTTTTGACATAATCTTCAGTTATCCGAAAAAAATATTACGATAGCACAATGTGATAAATAATTGTTGGTTGTTCTGAGGGTTACCAATTATTGATGCATTTAAGTGTTCTGTTTATTTAGTTCACCAAACTGATGCAATGAGCAGGTGTTATATTACCTATCTATTATGATGGTACCATCGATGGTACTACCATCATATGAGGGTTCTTGAAAATTCTACCAATTTCCTTTTTATAAAAAATGAAAATTTATATTTGCAGAATTGGACCATTAACAGTATACATTTTCACATAATTTCAAATAATTTTGCAATTAAAAAAAAATCTTATTTGAAATAATTTTGCAACTTGAAAAAAACCATTTTTGAAAGAGATCATTCTATCATTTTTTAAATTTTAATTCCTTTTGAACTTTTTGTTCTAAATGCAAAAAATCATTTCAAAATTTTAATTCTTTTAAAATTTTTTTATTCTAAATGTCAAATTTCTTCTATTTTTATTTGCAGTATGCTTGTTACATAAAAGCTAATAAAATCTTCATAATAAATTTGAACGAATATATTATTAAATATAAAATAATACATTAAATGTAAAATAATACATCAAATATTTCATGCATAATCTATCCACTTTAATGATACATTTATCACGATTTTAACTTAAAATTTAATTTAATTTGATTAGTTTGCATCGATTGAAAAGACGAAAAATTTTCGTCATTTATTAATTTTTTTTCTTCATTGGAAAATATACATGAATTATAGAAAATTGAAAGATTGCAGCATATTTCCATTCCAAAATTTTGATCCTATTCGTATCGGATTGGACTAAATCCGACATTTGAATTGATTTTGACAAAAATAAGATGGTGATGATGATGATGATGATGGTGTATTATGTGTTGGAAAGAAACAACAATAGATGATCGGGATAAAGGATAGGTAACGGGGATCCACCTGCTCTATTGTATATTTCACCTTCTGAGTGGATTATTATGAAGTCGAGTGGGGCCTCACCTAATAACATTACCAAATCATTTCAATTTTTTTAGCCAAATAAAATTAGTAATATTTAATGAAGTAATTGTATAATATTAATAAAAATATCAGAAAATTGTGATAACAACGATAATTACTAACAACCAATGATTACTATTATTAATAATGATGAAAATATTGCAATAATGATATTAACATAGCAATATGTTGATGAAACAATTATATAACCTGTATGAGTTCTTTGATGAATTTTCAAATTTTCACTTCTTGCAAAAACTTTTGAGCACATTGTACATGGAAATGGCCTTTCACCCGTATGTACCCGAATATGATTCACAAGTTTGTATTTTGCCTAGAATATAAATTTTTTATTGTACAAAAATTATTTTCATATTTTGCTCTATTAAATTAATATGAAGATTGAAACTTTTCCTACTTTTTTTTCTCCAAAATTTTATATAAATCATTCTTAAAATATCTTTATTTATACATCATACTCTTTTGACCTTCATCGGGTCAAGCGTTCTAGATGATTTATCAGTATTCTCAATGCGATATTAAAATTTCCTTCCCATCTTATCTATTTATACTTTATAATTTTATTTCGTTCACTAACAATTTCTTAATCTACTGATATTTTCCTGCTTCTTTAAAATCTGCTAGTATTGCATCTATCGGGAATTATGAAATCAAATTTTACAATGAAAATTTGATACAAAATGAACTTGACAGATTAATAAGTTTATCATTGTTTGATATTATAAAATGAATTCTATTATATTTTAAAGATTTTTGAAAATACTTTAAAAATTTTCCCCCTCCTTGAGCAATCTTTCCATTGACACACATGGAAGGATGTATCCGTCACACCCACATGTTCATGTTGCAGATGGGATACGATATGTTCGATGGAGTAAAATAACCGACCGCATATTCTATTGCGCTGAAGTATTAACAAATAAATTCAAATGAATTCTGAATAAGATTAGATAATTTTTAAATATTAGAAAAATGTTTTTAAAATATCAACAGTAAAAACGTTATGATATGTTTTAATTTAGAAAGGAAATGATATTCGAATGAAAATGAATTCTGAATAATTTTGAAAATTTCAAAAAATAAATTAATAATTTTAATTAACTGCTAAGATTTATTACTTCAGCATCGTATTATTGAATTTTTTTTTATTTAAATTTCTGAAAATTAGCCAGTATATTTAAATTGCTCTCCATCTGAAATGGGTGAAAACAGAATTACAACGAAAAATTTTCCGAATAATTAAATTTAATGGGATGAAAAATTAAAGGATGTAATTTTTAAAAGTACAAAAATGTGATTAATAAAAAGGATGTCATTTTTTGATTTTAATACCAACTTCAATCCACTGGCATTGAATTGGATTCTGGAGGTAGTTGGAGCCAGTGGTGGCATTGGATGTCATCGGTTGCATGGCAAACGGAAAATGAGGATAATGAGGCCGAACAAACGGATGTGATGAGCATGCATGACCGAAAAATGTTTCAGGATCCGGCTTAATAAGATTATACGAGTAATCGGTTGCAGTTGATGCTGATGTAGAACTGAATAAACAAGAATTTTGCATAAGTGGTGCCTCAGGGGCAAAATACATATCAGATCCGAAAGTGGTAGCTCCACGTGATCCATAACCATTTTCTGAAACAAAAAATAAATAATTAATTAAACATTATTAAATGAACTGTGAAATTTCAAATTTGTTTAAATGTACAATCAAAAACTTTTAATATCTGTTAAATTTTCAAACAAAAAATCACCATTTTTGATAAATAGCTGCTGGCCAAAAGTGGATTGTGATGGTACCATGGACTGGTAATAACCTCCCGGATTATAACCATTTCCAGGAACTATCGTATTTCCAACTTCTTTCTCCGGGATATTTGGAAGCTGAGTGGGTCTGAAAAATGTGTTTAAAAAAGAGTGAAATATATCAAAAATTAAAATAAAAATTCTCTATGAATATGATTTTGTTTTAACTTGTGCTAGCAGTAATTTACAATAGAAAAACTATTTCTTACAAAATTTTTGATGCTTTCTTTTTAGAAATTTCATTCTAATCGATTTTATTCTGATATTCGACCTATTTATCAATTCTCACATACTTAACACCACATCATATCGCTACGTTTTTATAATTTTAGAATAAAATAAATTTTTTTTGTTTTTCTTTTATTTCTAAAATATTTGAAGAAAAGAATAGATTTAATAATTTGATTAAACACTCTATTAAATTATATTTTCGGGTATTGATGGGAATTGACAGGAATTTACATAATTTACATGTATCAAAAGAGTTGAGACAAAATTTCAACTAACAACTTTCTGAAAATCGTTTGAATCTGTAAATAAAATTTTGATCTGAAAAGTTAAAATATTAAAAAAAAAATATGTAGAGAGAACTGAAAAGAAAGCTATTGGGAGGTTAGACAAGCTAATTAAGATTGTTTTTCTCGAAAAAAAGATGAAAAATTGCTGAATAGATAGAAATAGCTGACATCTGACCGTAGCAAATTTGAGATAAAAATTTTACTCATTACGGTATCATATTTGAACAAAAAAGACTTTCCTCTTTTCTTCTCTTTCCTTCTTTTTCTTCAATTTATAATAAAAAGACTTTTTTTTTTAAAAAAAAAGTAGCTGAAGATATTTAGTTAATAAATTTTAATGCAAAAAAATGACTAAAAAAAACATTTAGATGATAAATTTTTATTAATTCGAAAAAAAATGAATTTCTTTGGATCAAAACAAATTGCTTGCAGTTTTTAATAAGCTTAAGGTTTAAGATAAGATAGGAAACGTGAAAGAATTCATACCCGATCGGTAGGTGGCTTGTAACATTAAATGATGGTAAAACGGTTGAAGATGAGGTAGGAATGCCGGGTGCGCAATTGGTGGTGTGCGATTGTTGATGCTGTTGCGGATGTTGATATCCTGGAGTGAGCATCAAACAGGGGCTAGCAACGAGTTCGTTTTGATTTTGTTGCTCGAGAAAAAGAATGATTTTCAACAGGTAGTGGAGAAGTACCTTTTTTGGATCACAAAAACGATTAGAAACCGCGGGGCGCACTTTACTTCACCATCATATAATTGTCTGTTTAGCTTGAAGGAAACTAGTAATTATACATGATTCTGAAGGGTGGAAAAGAGAATATTTTCAACATTTTTTTTCCATTTTTTGCCACGCCTTTTTCCTCTCTTACCAGCTATCGTAATCCAATCGAATAACCAATGAATTGTTCAAACTGTTCAATTCATAAATTTGGCAAAGCAATATGAAGGAAAGAGTAGAAGGAAGAGAGAGAGAGAGAGAGAGTGATAGTAAGAGATGAGAGAGTGAGCATACTTTTCGAAAAAGGGTGGAGCCAATGGAAATAAATTAAGTAAATTCATAAATTTTCAAGCTGTCATTAGGAAACTTTTTTTTTTGGAAATTAGAAGAATGAAATGAAACGGTAATGAAATTACGATTAGATGATGATAATTTCTTCGTATAAATAAAAGTTTATAGTAAAAATTTGATCGTTTTATTTACAGTTTAGTTATTATGACCAAAAAGAGAATGGAATAAATTGATGAATTAAAATTTTGTGAACGATTAAAATTTAAACTGTTTGATAGAGTAGAAATTCTATGAATTATTGCATATGCTGATTTTATCATATAATTAATATTTCAACTAGTTGAAACTTTTAGATTTGCTTTTTTTAAACTTATTTTTATGAAATTTGTAATATATTCTATTTACACTTCGTTCCTCTCTATGGATTTTTTATATTTTATAAGTTGTTCTGGGTTTTTTTTTGCCTTTTATTTTTTTTCATGTTAATAGATAAAATGAGAGAAATTTAGAGCTCACCGTTGTAGTTTGGTGCCGTGATGAAATGAGGAATATGAGAATCCAAAAATCATTTTTTCTCTTCACAACTTTCTAATTTTTAATTGCTACAATGAAATCTTTGTTAAAGCATAGAATTTTTTTAGCATATTAACAAAATGCTAAAAAAGATGAAGGAGCAAAATATTTACTTAATTTTTAAAATTGTCCAATTTTTATTGATTTCTTTTTTGTAATACATTAAATTTTACTTATAAAAATAGAGTATTGCTCAGTAATTATGAAAAAATAACAATTGCTTTATGGTTTTCTTATTAATTTTTGCAAATTTTGCTAACATTAGCTATTTTTTTATAATCTATAAAAATCATTTAAATTTATGCATGGAAACTGTTTTCATTTGTTTTTATTATAATTGATTCTACGAAAAAATAAGCAGAATTTGATACAATGTGTGTTATTTGGGGATTTTCAATATTGTTGCAACCTAAATTTTGTTAAATTAAAATTACAAAGAATGTAAAAAATCTATTCAAATGCTTACCATACTGAGAAATTTTTTGCTTCATGCAAGAAAAACACTTTGCAATGATTCGCTGTCAAATAAAATCAATGAGGCTATGGTTCACTTTGAGGATGACCAACGCAATGAATTTATGCCAGATGACGTTTGAACAATGATCAATGTTTAACTGGACATTAAAAATAGAAATTAATTTTATAGATTCCAGAACATTTTTTATCCACAAATTTAATTCGATTAAATTTGTTAATTTAATCAAAGTAAATTCTTATCTTAACAAAACAGTAGGGGAAGATAAAGTTGATGAAGAAGAATGTAAAGTGATGATCGGCAGTCAGTATGACTTTGTGATGATGATGATGATGATAATCGGAGTTGACATTTGTGTATATAGCAGATTACAGCTTTCATGACCACTGAAAAATTATTGGTTGGTGAATGATAATATTACGGATGATACGATGATGTGTAGTTATGATAATGATAGCAACGATCATCGTAATGATAATAATACAACCTGTCTCGCAAAACATATCATCGATATGTAATAAAGGCGACACGCGACTTCGCTCTCATATCAACTTGTCACCCCGGGCATGGTGTTAAAGTTGTAATTTACATTCCATCAACCAGCATTCTTTAC